AAAATTTTCTGTCTTTATATTGCACAGCTAATGCATCAGAGCAGTAATATATTTTGTTTGGCTTTTTGCGGAATTGATTAGTCAAAAATTTTATCATTTTTGTCTGGTATAAATGTACTGCAATAACATTATTGAACATGGATTATAAATGCATAATTTTCAGAGAAATCGAAAATTATCATAAATTCATTTGGTTGTAAAAAATGTTTAAGTTTTGAAATATATAATGATTGATTGGTAGCGATGATAGGAATAAAAAAATAAAATAAGCTGATAAACTTTCAAATAATAACGATAGTAGATCCACAACAATGAAAGGATATGTATACAAATTATGGCCTTAGGAATATCTATTAATAAGCGCGAAATTATAATAGTTTGAATATAAAATTTTAAAAGATGTTTATTTTACAATATAGCGTCAATAAAATAATCTGTATGGGCTGCCTGCTTACATATCGCCCCAAGACATCATTCTTGGTTATACTCAATTGATTTTTTAATTTTAATCATAATACTATTCATATTCATATTTTAATTAAAAATTATATATTATAAAAATATTTTAATATAATGCCATCTATATTACATTTTTTTATTTATAAAATAATAAAAATTCAAATAAAATTCAAAAATGGCTCTCGAGATTTTTTATTAAATCGTTTAATTTAAAGGTAATAAACATTTTTAGTGAATATTAACACCCAAAAAAAATCCCTTCCTAAGAATGTTAATTTTTTTATTTTTACCGGAAATAAGAAAACACTTGAATTTTTTTTTTTATATTTTCCAACGTAAAATTTTAAGGGCTATAAAATGATATATAATTTGTAACTATCTTAAGTATTTTTTTAAAAAATCACGCAAAACACGCCCCGATTTTAGACTTTGAAGGCGTATATCTTTGTATCTGATTGAGCTAGCACTCTAAAATTGTGATTTTCTTAACATTTACAACATAAATAACTAACATGCAAAGTTTCATTCATTTGAGAGGGTCGACCGAATCATTGGTCGATTTGTCATGGAATTACCCAATAGCGTAGCTGGTAGAATGTTATAATGAATAACTCGACAAGAGGAAATCAACGGGAGGAGATACTATGAGAATATTTCAAACTTTCTGAAGGTTGGATGTGGGTCTGCTAATGCCAGGTGACAATTGCTCACCCATGTGTAAATAGCTCTTTCTAAGTCAAAATCATCACCGATAGTTATTAAACTTGAATAGCTTAATTTTGAGTAGATAAAAGCAGTAAGAGAAGGGAGGGGTGGGAGACGGAGACCAATCCCGTCATTTTTCCATGGAAGATTGGTCTGGAGCCACGATCTATCTGAAAATTTATATTGATGATAGTCTCAAACATTGTAAGCATATTCAACTCATGCTTGAACAGGATATCTTTATAATGAAAGATTGGGGCTGATCACATAGCATATATGATCTTGGGCATGGAAGTAATTTTAAGTAGGAAGAACGCCTGATGGGCTGGTAGTCTATTTAAAATTGGTTGCATTTCTACTAGATTAAAATAGGTTTTGTCTAATAGGTTCTTTGCAATGACACTACCAATTGTAGAACCAAGATGAATAATTACCTAAATGGAAGTATATTAGAAGGAGAGGATGGCATAATAGAATTTGTAAGAGTAAGTTCCGACTTTGACATATTAAGAGATAAACCTATAATAGATATTAGATTATTAATAATGTCCTGAATGGTGTTTATTAAAGAGGTGGCACCCACTATGAAGCCATCATCTAAATATAAGGTATTTATAAAGACTTTAAAACTTAGATTGAATCTATTAATGTTTGAACACGAAAAGTAATGGTGGACCCAATGGATCACCTTGTTGTATATCTTCACAAGAAAGAATAACTTTGTCATAAAATTTTAAATATGTGGGCTTAGAGTAGTGCAAAATAAAATTGGTATATTCTAGATAGTCATTGTAGAATATGTGAATAAAATGATTTTCTTTAATAGAGTTAAAGGCATTATTAATTTTAAGGAAAATTAAATTTGGATCTACATTAGTTAGCGATATTCGGGCTGTGTGCACTGTAGCCTCTGCTCCTCCTTTGATGCCAACCTCATTTGATTGGGAAGGAATGATATTTCTGATTTTAAACACGAATAGATTTTAGATGCATTACGATGAAATGTTGATCCAACAGAAAGATAGGTCGAACCCCACCATCTTTTGTTTAGAGAAATTACCAAGCCCCAAATATTAAAGGAATGGGTTTAGGAATTAGACCTTTTAGTAGATTTAAAAATTCTTTAATACTTAATAGTAAATTGTAATTAGGTAATTTATGGATGATGCTATCATGGAGTAAAATGCCTTGATACCATCATGACCGCCGGATAAATGTTTTAATATGAACTCAATGGCCTGTTGAGCTTTCAAAAATTGTGATATCACTTGGTACATTGCTTGGTATGATATAATGTGAAAACTCTCACTTGGATATTTATTAACCAATACATTGAAAGTTTTGATTCATTATTGCTAAAGTATCATTTGAAGTCTAGATGCGAAGAGCAGCATTCATGTCACCTTGGTTGATCTTGTTAGAGATCATTTTGGATTTTGATGAAATATATGAAGGAAGAATTGTGTTCATCTAATAAAGTGTTTACATCATTTTTATCAAATCTTGCTATGTTCTCTTTATTTGTTTAGACAATTGACTTTAATAGTATTCTTGGGAATAGATGAAACAGAGTAGAGAAAGAGATGCTTCCAAAATGTTAAATGAGCAGTAATAGCAGACAAAATATTGGACATAGATTTTGAGAAATTATCCGAACTCCTCTTGGAACTCTGGATAAAGTGGGATGGATTTGTGAACAGAAGTTCATTTATTCATTGATGTATTATTATCTAGTAGGGCAGAATATAAATCAGAGAACCTGCAGACCCGGCCCTTAACTCACGGGTCGGGCCGTATTTTAATTTTTTTTAAAAAGTACCCAGGCCAGGCCTCTTTAAAAAAAATACCCGGGCTTGGCCAGTATTTTAAATAGCCATATTATTAGCTATAATTATTAAAAATAAATGTAATATATTTAAAAAAAAATCTATGTCAGGTTGAAAATTTTTTTAAAAAAAATCCCTGGTGGCAGTGCAAACGGTACATCTGCAGGTTTGTTATAAATTGGTGTTGCTATCATATTTTACACTATTTGTATCATTACTAAAAGTGAATGCAACGAATGAGTTGGGTTGTAAATAACAATTATGTTAAAAGTACTGTCTTGAACCAGCGTACCATATGTTAAAACTAGAGTTGTTAAACCCTACTTATAAAAGTAGCGCGCTATCGCTATTTGTCAAAAAAGTAACGCTTTACCGTTATCGCTACCAAAAAAAGTATCTCGCTTAGCTTTGGCTACTTTTTATAAATAAAATTTAGAAATAAATTTGTTTTAGTTTTTGCTTATAATGTAATTGCATTGTATATAATACATAAAATCATCATTTATAAATATTTAAATATAGTTAGTTTTGATTATAAAAAAATTTATGTAATAATAATTATAAGTTTTTTATTTATTTTTTTGCATTTTAATAATAAAATCATTTCTATACTATCATCTCCAAGTCTAGAGCGACGATCACGCCTAACACTATCACTTGAGCGCATAGGCAGTATTTAATTTTATAATGTAAGAAAATTATCAAAAATACTTTGTATTTTAGATTAAAAAAAGCCTAGGGGATTCTCTTTTATATTAGTATCCTTTATTTCAAAAAAATTATAATTGGAGTCGTTTTTGTGGTTCTAACTAGGGCATCTTTGTTTGCTATCTTAATCATTAGTGTCTGGCGACAAAAAATTGTTGTACCAAGGGATAGAGTTTTAATCATCATGGTAAATGACGCATTATCAACCAATGACATTGGCTGAATTGTATCAATTATAAAATCAACAATAACTTTATCAACCAGTTTCTGAGAAATATTGGCATGTGTAATATTATTAATCAATTTAGTTTGAATTGAATTGATCTTTTCTCCCCTATATCAAAATTATTAAGATGTTTTTCTATCTCTTTAAAACTGTTGGCATGAACATTCTTACAAAATAAAAATACTATTAGAATTTAAAAATGACAATTACCTTTAGGTGTTTTTGAGGTTATAGCTATTAGATTTATTTGAGGATATATTTTTTTACAGTTTGAACAAATTATTTTGTAGCCACCTTTTGTTTTTACATTATTTGAAACAATTATGGAAATGAATGGAAAATTTATTGTTATCAAGAACATTTTCTTCCAGGGTACCTTCCATTTCATTAATATCATAATTGTCTGATTGCGCTATCTTTTTGGTAGCTATAGCTAATAACGAGCTACTTTAACAACTCTAGTTTAAACGATGAATAAAATATTTTAGCTTAGGTGATTTTAGTAAGCACACTGGAGAAGTATCATTAATTGAATATATTGGGTAACCATGCATAAGGTAATTAATAATTTATAATTAAAACAATGACCTGCTGTAAATTGAGTTATTTACTTGTTTTCTCAATTCTAAAAAAATTATTCCAATGAGCCCTTAGTTATTATTAATTTTTATAAGATTGACAACATAGATTTATCAATATTTCTTGAATTAATTTTTTAGTATAAAAATTCAAGATTGAATGTTGCAAGATAAAAAGGGTCACAGTTTTTAATGATTCTTGTTAAGTTGCAACATAAATTTATATATAAAAATGTACTGATTCAGCATATAAAAGATTGAATGTTGCAAGATTAATATAGATTATATAAATTTAAGGGGATGGAAATATGCCCTACCCATATTCATGCTTAGTATTGAGTATAACAGCGAAATAAAGAAGTAGAAATATAAGAATTCACCCTTCTAAATAAATTTTTATATCAGTCCCCCTCCACGTTTACGTTTACCTCAATTACTCATCACATTTAATAATTCATTTTTATTTATATATTAAATGATTGATAATTGAAAATGTAGCCGGTGTCTCCAAATATATACAAGGAAAAAAATTTACCAATTTTGACGGCTATTAAAATAGATAATCTACTCAAAGAACTTGATCCAGAACCGTCCAAACACAGGATTCACAATCAGAAATCTCCAGAAGAGATTAAATTTAAAAACGGTAATTAATATCGCCTATTCTATTGTTTTACCTTCTTGACTAGAAAAATTTTAAAGATAAACTTTTTTATCTAATATATTAATGATCAATCCTTTAAAATTTTTAATATGATAAAATACGGTGGATCTATAGATTGGCATGAATGGTGAGGAGGGGGGGGGTAAATTTTACATAAAAAGAGATGATATAATTGGAAACATTAGAGGGAAAATGTAATAAGAAAATATAGTTAGATCATTATTGTTAATATAAGATAAACATTTCTATTAAAATTCATAATATACGAAGAGATATATTAAAAAAAATATTTTATAATAAATGACGTCTTATATACAGCTTACCTCTCTCTTTCGCCTACGCAATTAACCAATGAATCCAAAATCAACGTTCAAAGCTTGCTGGCCGAATTGAATACCGTAATCAGGGAGTCTCCATCAAAAATTAAAAGCTCTCATACTAATATACCGCCCCATATATCCACCTCGTTTAAATACTTTAAAAAATCTTTCTCTTATGTCTTTCCATATTTTCCTTAGACAATACAACATAAAAATTAAACAGTGACCATTTATTTTGGACCAAATCGATCTATAAAACTTACTAATATATCATTCTTTATAGTAAGATTGGTCACTTCTCAAGGCCTTAATATTTTTATTTTATTGATAAAAATCTAGAAAGCCTCACTTGTCTTATTTGATAAAACAAGCATTTTGATAATCTCATGAAATCATTTTTTTACCCCCTTGCTAAGGTAATTCTTGTTTATTCCGGCCTCTATTGTGTTCATTAAATATGTTTTAACTATCTGATTAACACTTTAAATCAGAGCTAATAGAATCAGAGTGATCCAGAATCTGGAACCCTTGGAATCAAGACAAGCCTCAGAATCCAGAACCTGGAACTCTATTTTAAAATTTATGACCAGAACCTGAGCCAGAACTCATTTAGAGATTTCCCTGAACCTATTCTAATAAAAGTGCAAATAATTTATATTATATATTGTTTAAAATGTTCTGTTATTCATTTTAGAGGCTTATTTATCGTTTAAATTTTTTGATTACTTTAACAGAGTTTAGAAACTGGAACCGCATCAAATTTAGAAACCGGAAGCCTTTTATAAATATATAACTAGAACCGAAACCAGAACTCCTTTTCCCCCAGGTTCCAAACTCTGAATATAATATAAATTGATCCATATAAAATCAATTGAAGATGCAATCTGACCTCTTACGATTTTTAAAAATTTATACTTTAGTATATAAAATACAAAATTTTAATTTCCAACTCAGCTTATTTCCTAAGATATGCCCACCTTGAAAATGCAAAAATTCGAATAAGGATCCATTTAATTTTAAGTATCTCATAAAAATAATTTAGCTAAAACGATGATTTAATTTTTAAAAATTATATAACTTTATAATAGCCCTTTAATATGAAAAAAATTTAGTATGTTAAAATTAGTTTACCAAAAACCGGAAATGACCATAAAAAGAAACTGATATTTTTTTCTTTCATTTTTTTTATAGATGTGCATTATACTGCCTTTTTATACAAAATCTTAGACTGGAACGAGCACTGGAGTTGCCGCACTTTAAATATAGGTCATGTGAATCATACATAAATATCATTTATATTTAAAATATGTAGTATTTTTTTTAAAATTCATGTTAATATAAAATAGAAAGCTTAAAATTTCGACATTTTTTTATATAAATTAACAGTTGGGTGAATACTATGGCGTAATTTATTTTAAAAAGAAAATATTTATAACTTTATTTAGCTAATTTAAATATATCATTCATTAAATAATTAACAAATTTGAATGAAATTTGACCTTCATTTTTGCTTCACGTGAATAAAAGCATGAAACTTTTATTTTGGATATAAGTAGCGTACAAAGGGGCTTTGGGGTTAACTTTCATCACTTTATGGAAAGTATGATTAAGTAAAATTTTTGGATAATATTTTTATATTGATGTCTAGACAAAAATTTGCTTTCATTTAAATTGATAAACCCCCTCTTAATTTTCTAATTCTATTTCTATTTTCAATTGTAAAAACGCACTTAGTATTATTTTACTAAACAATCGCTCAACCTTAGCTTGAGGGTAAAAATCAGCTATTATAATCTTTTTCAATTTTATCGTAACCAATCCATTTTAATTTAGTATAATTTTTCAAAGATACCAAGTCCCTACTACTAAATTATAAGTTTGTCAAAGCTACCGCTACAGAGTCTCATATTTTGGAAAAGATATAATTTCCATATTTTTTTAAATGATAATGGTAATTTTTTTTAGGTATTTTTATTATTTAATTTTTTTATTATAATTGCTTTAGAATTTTTATATTCTTCGTTCTATCTAAAATTCTGATATAAATTTAAGTAATTTTCTTATTTTGCTAGCAACCTTTTTATTTATATTATTTATCAAACAGATTGAAGAGTAAACTAAAATGTATACCATTTAACATTATATATTCCGTAAGCATTAGAATCAGTGCATTTATAAGTTTGGCAAACTTGTGTTTTAAAATGAGAGAGGACTACATTTTAATATGAGTCAGAATATCAAATTTTTGAAAATATAACTCAATTAATAATATGCTGAGATTTAAGCTATCTTACTTCAATATCTATTAAATAAACTGAAAAGAACAAATAAAAAAATATTTTGAATCGGGGAAAATACCTCAATGTGTTTATATGTAACAGAGTTAAAAGAAACTTTTCAAAAGGATCTAGATACATACATCGTCTAAAATGTATCTAGATACTGATGTATTCTTTAAATGTACTTAGATACAGATACAATTTTTATTATAAATGTATAAGATGTACATAATGACTAATTTAGGATTCTATCTTTTAAATTCAAATTTTATTGAGTTGATATTAATACAAATTAAAATAAATAATAATAATTGCTATTTTTATAATACCTATTCAAAATATATAATTAAGTGATTATAAATAATAATTGTTTCAGTAATAGAACATTTTCAAAATTTTTATCATTAAGGCATGCCCATTTATCTGTAAGGGCATTTTCCGCATTAAAAATTCTTTCTACTGGGGCATTTGGCGACAGGTGATGTTATACTTTATGAATAACAATTTTATATTGAGACAATCTAAATATACCAAAATCCCGCGTGGCATAATTTTTATCATTATTCATGATCATATCCTCTAGGGGTGATGAAAAAAATCTGATATTAAATTATATCTTATTTTTTGGTTTTTATCTGAAATTAGTTGTAAACTTTGATAGTTCATCAACTAAGCTCTGTATTATTATTTTATTTAAATCTTCCATTTATATTCAAGTCCAAAAAGTTTAAAATAAGGATGAATTTTAAAATGGGCTTTATTAATTGGCCATGGAAATTCAATATTTGAACCATCTGTTGCTGGTTTGATTATTGTTCATTCATCACTATTTGTAATATTGTAAAATTTAAATTACCATATTGACGTCATCCATTGTGTAAAAAAAAGTTGTTTGGTTTGTTTTTGCAATGAAATAAGCTAGCTATAATATTAATGAATTGAATTCAAATATTTTTCTAATATAACATAAAATAAAATAATAACAAAATATATTTAAAAATAGATACAGATACTCTAAAGATATATCTAGATACAGATACTTTTTATAAAAGTTATATATAGATACCACATTTTTGCATCTAGATATTTTAATAACTCTGATAATTGATTTTTGAATCGCAATTTAAAATCCGTTATTTACGACTCAGCTTAGGCATGTCGATATTTTTATTTTGCTTATAACTGGTTTTGTTTATTGACTGAAAAAACTGATAAAGTATTAATCAAACATTACTTATTGCTCACCCAGATATTGAATGATTCTATGAATTTTTTTGCCAATAATGCGTGTTTCTTTAAAGTATTAAACTGATTTAAACACTAAAATGCTAGATGTGCACTATTTATTGATATAAATTTTAAGGTTAATCTTCTAGAAATGGCTGACTTCACGCTTAAGGCGTGATATCAATTTTATTTGGCATGCAATTCGGTTACTTTTTAGTATTGATTAAAAAATTAATAAGTATAAATATTCACGCTAGCCCAGATATTTAGAATTTCTATATTCTCCGTTCTAGGAAGATGCTAATTTTGACATTTTTATCCTATTTTACCAATAGTTAATTTTTCTTTTAAACCATCTACCAAACAGATTAAAGCAATAAAATAAACTAATAAAGCACTACTTAATGGTGTGGAATAAATTTCAGAATTAGTATTTCAAAAAGCTTGAATCACTTCACGCTAAAGCATGACGTCATAGTTTTGATTTTGTTTATCGGTTTCTTTTTTAGTTTTCATATGTTTGATAAATTAATAAGTACCAGTTAGGAACTAAATATTAGCGCAAATCAGATATTTTTGTTCTTTTATATTTTTCATTCTAGCTTGACGCCAATTGTGAAATTTTTTTTTATTTTGCTAATCACTTTTTCCTTAAACTGTTTACCAAACGGGTTAAATAATATACAATTAAGTACTAAATATTGATAAATTTTCTGAATAACGCTTTTATTTTTAATCGTAAGGTTGGCCAAAATTTTATTATTAATAATTTAATACTTTATACTGGCTACTATTTAAAGTATTCATAGATACTAATAAAGCACGACGCATTGGTATAGAATTATTAATGCTCCAATTGTTCAGCCAACTTTAATGAGATGATATCAAGATATTACATATTTTAAAAATGAAAATAACCAAGGGAAAATCAAAAATATAATTATGATTTTTCATAGGAGGGGTCTTGCCAAATGCCAGGCAACCTCCCCCCACCCACACTCTTGGATAGATTTTGGCTAAGCCACGCGAATTTGTTTATCTGATAAAATTTGATTGTTTCCATGCTTAAATATTCAACATTGCTGATGAATATAAATGAATCCCTGGGATTATCTCGCATAATTATATAAATCTAAGGTTATTTTTTTAAGGGCATTCCAGGCTTGCCTCGCTAACCTCTTAGGACAATACCTCTTAAATTATCGTAAGAAGTTTTGCCATATGTAATTTGAAGAAATATCATTTTACCTTGAGCCCATTACAATTCTCATGGTTGTTAAGGTTTATTGAGTTTTTTTTTCTTTTTACACAGGGTGGCAACACCATCGAGTAATGAAAAATTATTGAAATCTTATTAAATCATTCGAATAAAATTAGTTTTGTTAAATAAATAAAATTCACGAGTATTGTTGCGGTAAAAAATCTAAAATAGAGTAAGTGTTGTTTGTCATTAGTTCAAAGGGGACCTTGAGTTTGATCTTGAACTATAAAAGTGTAGTTCTCTGTAAAAGATATTATTAAAAATTCCCCCATCATTCAAATTAGATTTAATGAGTTTAGAAATAAAGTTTGTTATGAAGAAATAAATGTTTAAGCATATGATCTGCCGTTAAAAATTGCTTAAATATGATGTGATCTGGCATTAATATCAAACAATTAATTAAGTTTAATAAAGATCACCGTTCGGTCTTTGGTCCAGACCGAGCCACGGTCATAAAATAAAAGAGGTCCAGACTGTGGGCATAAATACAAAGACCGGCACAGAACCGATCATAAATATTTTTGGTATTTAAAAAATATTTTCGTTTTTATCGAGTTTAATTCTTGTTTTATCCTTTTATTAGATATAAAAGATTCGACTAAACACTCATAAATATTACGAAGCATATTCGGCAAATAACCAAATTTGCATAAATATTTTCCCATAAAATTTTTTTTAATCGTCATTTTTTTCTGTATTGGAACACACTCCGCTTGTAAAAATTAAGAATGACAAATCAAAACGTAAGTATTTTTTTTAAAATATTTTTTATACAATTAAAAATTATCTTAAATATGCAATAGAAGTTGAAATAAGATTTTTCAGAAACTGAAAATATTCCCAATTTGAAGGTATTCCTGGAGAGGAAAGCGAAATTTCAGAAGGATATGCTGATGATGATATAGCATCAATTTCTGAAATAATACCTTCGCAAAACTATTCGGGGAAACGGATTTATATAGTCTACAAATTCAACCGTTATTTTAGAAAAACCCCAAAACGAAACGTCGTTTATTATATTCAAGGTTCGTATGAGAGCCAAAAATTTATATGACCGGCAAATTTATTCTCATTATTTTTTGCTGATTCTATGCTGCAACATATTCATCATACATATTTGCAGATAATTATTAATCTAAGAAATATGCCACGTCTAGTTCTACGATTTCTTAAGATACATAGAAGAATTAAAAGCGGTTTTAGATGTTATTATTCTAGGCCTGCAAAAATCATTTTCCCACTCGAATGTTATTTGACATGAGGATGTGCGAATTTTTATATACAGCTAACTTAAGCCGAGAATGATTTAAATTTTTGATTGATTCGAAATGTTAGATTTGATGAGAAATCAAGGAATATAGATGACCCTTTCTCCCCAAGGTTATATAAACCTGTTCTTATATAACTATTGATGAGCAGCTCCTATTTTTTAGTAGTAGATGTCCCTTTCGAATGTATATCTTAATAAATCTGCAAAATATGGAATCAAAGTTTTCTTGATCTGTGACGTCAGTAATAGTTATATGATCAATGCCTCTCCTTATTTGGGAAAACGTACCTATACATCAGACCTTCCTTTGGGACAATTTTTGTGAAAAAGCTGACGAATTCTTTATATGGGTCTAATAGAAACATTATTATGAACAATTGGTTTACATCCATCAAGGTCGCTAATAATTTACTAAACCCCTATAATTTAACAATTGTGGAAACTCAAGGAAGAGAAATACCGATGCTTTAGTAAAAAGGGTAGGAAAATTAATTTTTATATTTGTCCTTAATTGGGAATTGTTTATTCTTAATACCAACACAAATAGAATACTACAAAGATGTAGTTAACATATTGGTTCAGAAAACAGTGAGATGACCATTATAACATTTTTTGGGTTACTGAGTATTGTCCTGGTGTGGATTATATATAAAAGAAATATGAATAATAAAAATCTAATTCAATTATCAAGAAGATCATTTTGCTTAATATTATATGAAGATTTAATAAATCCGTTGTTACACATTTGTTTAAATTGCATTACTTTGAAACGCTCTATACGGGTCATGATCGGAGATATTATAGGGAAAAACTCTTTGGGAGAAAGGGAAAATCCTCCCAAATCTATTCATACTATTTGCAAGTTTTGCCCTTCATAATTGGGGCTTATGACGACAACAATCTACGGACACTGCAAAAAGATTCTGTCGAATACATCAAGCACCATGCCGCCATGAATACGATTTTTATAAGTAAATTTTTTTTCATGAATATATTTGTATTCAATGATGTTTTATGCAACAAAAATTTTGTTCAAATCTTATTTGATTGTAAAATTATTTTTATATCATAATTTTTACGATAGATTAGTTTTAAAGTAACTCGTTCATAAGATTAGTAGTGAAGGGTTAACAATATCAAAATTATGAATATAATAAATAATATAAATATTTAATTTAAAAGTTCAAAATATATTGCAAAAAGGAACTAAAAAAGAAAAAGTAATTCCTCTAAAAAAGTAATATAAACTAAACTAACTCTTTTAGAAAAGTAATAGAAAATAAAATATACACAAAAATTTAGAAAAAAAATTATATGAATTGAATAGCATAGCAGGCAAACTTAAATATTAATAAATGACTGGTCCAGATCACTGGTCTCGAAAAGACCGAGTCTTTTTAGTTTTGAAATGCCAAGATAAATTTGGCATTACTTTAAGTAACAGGAAGACTGACCTGGATTGCACAGGCTTTAAGCAATATTTATAATTTTATATACGGATATTGATGTAACATGCAGATATGAATGTATTCTTTTTAGGCTTCCGATGCGACTAATATTTAAATTGCGATACTCTTGTTGCAATTCTCGTCCCAGTCTAGATTTTTTTCAAATATAAGTAGTAAAATGTCTATAAAATAATTAAGGAAAAAAGGTAATATACTGATTTTTACTATATAAAATTTTATGTCACATTAAAGGGCGAAATCATGGCTTTAGCAAAATTATTTTTTGAGATATTTAAAATTAAAAGTAATTTGAAATTTTTTACTTTTAAAGATGTTCTTATCATATCTCAGGAAGTGAGAATATTTGGGAAATATAATTTTATATACATTCTAGAAATAATTGGATGGGGTCGGGTTGAGAATCTAGTTTTTTTGGTTGGTTTAATATGTAATACAACATATATATATAATACATATTTTTTTGCGTACTTATTTATAGTCCTACATCTCTCAAGTCTCAAAACATGTTCTCTTCTACACTTAGATACAGCACCTTGAAACAAGAACCTACGAATTATTTTAAAAAGTTTGTAAATTCATAAAATTTGTCAAGGAGAAGGATAGATAAAGTTTATAGGATTTAAAATGTAACAAATATGCAAACTAGTGAAGATCCCTTTCCTGATTGAAAAATCGGGCGAGTCTAGTTTTTAATGCTAAGACTGTACCGTGGTTCCAACCTAATTTTCCCAAGAAATTTTTATTCAAAATTTATAAATTTAAGACCATACTGAGTTTTTGAGTATTAATGTAAATTGGTATCAAGCCAAAAATGGATTTGGATTATTTTTGCATTAGCACATTTAAAAATGTATCGTCAGCTTACAAGTTGTATTAATTAATTTCCATATTTTAAATTATATAAGTATACTTTATAATACAGATGAACTGATATTTTTTGTTTTTTATCGATATCAAATGGTTAGTTTAATAACTTTTTTTGAACCAATTTTTCACTTATAAGGAGGTCCAGTTCCGATCTTTACCGGTTTTTATTTTTATTCAGATCGATCTTATTAATTTTTTAAGTTCCTTGCTATTCAATTTATATAATTTTTTACTAAATTTCTGGTATATTTAATTTTATATTATTTTCTATAGGAGTTACTTTTTGTGATTTTTTATTTTTACTTCCTTTTTGTAATATATTATATAAACGAAAAGTTTAAAAAGGCATTTTACTTTTAAATTAAATTGTTTTTTTTAATTATATTATTCATAATTGATGATTTTGTTAACATTAAATACTTTTGTATTTAAAAAAATTATATAACAAGAATTAAATTAGGTAAGAACAAAAATATTTTTAATAACAAAAAATATAAAATCGGTCTTATTTAAGGACCGAGGTCTGGTCTATGTATATCGGTACGAACCAAAGACCGGACCATATTTATTGTAAAAATTGTTTTTTTACAACCATTTTCAGAGACCTGGAGAAGTGCCATTTACACGATTTATTTATAATTTTTATAGCTAATGGCTATTTTAAATTTTCGGTTTTAATATATACCGGCCCGGGTATTTTTTTTAAAAAAAAGGTGCTCTCTCCTTTCTAGACTGATAATTAATTTTTATAAATACTTTATTATTTTTTCGTTCTCTTTCAAGAAATATTATATTTTTTAGCTGCTGTCGCAATTCTAAAAAAACACGTATCCCAATTATCTGCATATAGCGGGTTTTAGCCCGCCCGCTATTGGGCGGGGTCAAATTTTTTAAAGAAGGAGCGGGCGGTCGGGCGTGTTAAGAAAAATATTTAAACTTGTGCGAGCGGGTAAACAGGCTAAAACATTCAGGCTAAAACATTTACAACTTTTATTTGTTATTTAAATTATTTATGTAAATATTTTAAAAAAAGCTTCATGAAATTTCAACATTTTACCAATCGATATTTGAAAATGTGTTGATATCGAAAACATGTATTTGCTTGGAAGAATATAACATCAACATGGATGAAAATATGATTTTACCCGTTTCTCCAGTAGCAAAGAGAATTCAATTAAATTATAAATGCAATGTTTGAAATAAATAGTATCCACGTCAAATTAAACAACAACAGATGGGAATATGTGCCTGTTACAGATTAACGACATAACAAAATATTTAAATCTTGTAGTAGCGAGTTTTTGTATAATTTAACAAGATTTTGGGTTATTAAGTTTAGTTTAAATTTACCATTTTTATAAACAATTAATTAAATTACTTTTTTTTATTTATTATTAATGGCTTTATTTTTTATTTAAATATCTCACTAACGACAAAAAAAAGATTTATCGAAGTTATTAAGATTAACCAGTGCTTCTTCTGAACGAGGAATTAACAATGCTGTAAAGTTTATAGAATAAAAAGGAACGTGCGTGAATCCAGAAAATGTGGATTTATTATTATTTTTGCATTATAATAAGAAATAATATCAATAAATATTAATTTTATATTTTTTACATAAATATTTCATCAAATTAAATAAATTTCTTATCCGTAATTTAAATTAAATTTTTTTTTGCTTAATATAGCAATTTCCTAAATTATAAAACTTTTTTGTAAGGGTGTATCGCTGAAACTGAATGATTTTTTTAAAATTAGATTTTAAAAAAATTATAAGAAATAGCTTATTTAAATTTTATGGGCGGCATTGGTTAAAAATTTTTTTTATATAATGTACAGATGGTAAAAAAATTTAGATTATTGACTGGCGGGCGGGTATATTTTTTAAAAAATATGGGCGGGTTAAATCTTTAAAAATAATGGACGGGCGGGATTGTGGGTTAAAACCCACCCATTGCAGACCTCTAATCCCAATCCTAAAAGAAAAATCGCACATTCATTATTTTTATTTTATCATCGCTTGTTGCATTAAAAATTCTTCTAATTTCTATTTTTTTAATTTAAGTTTTAAGAATTAATTTAACGTGCTTATTAATATTTCGAAATTTGTAAAAAAAAATTGATTATCGGTGCCAATTAGTGTTTTTAAATGGCTTTGCCTATTTTTTAAAACGGCTAACTCGAAATTTTATTAAAAAATATTACGCAAGCTTGAAGATTTTGTTCATAGATGACAAGGTTTGGTCTATTAGTGAATTCTCCAGGTCTAGAGGGAATATGATTTTGGTTAAATTTTTTATTTAACCATTTTTAAAAATTGGCCAAACCGAGCCGTTGCGCCTTGATATCAGCTGAAAACTCAAAAGGTGCTAAGCAAGGTGTTAAAAGAGAAATATTGTGGTTTACTTATGCGAATTATAGGGTTCAGTTATATTAAATGCGCATGCTCATCCCTACGTAATAACATCAAATATGAATATGATGATTACTCATTTCGATTTTTTTATCTATAGAGATAACTCGTGGGTCATTCCATGTCAAATCAATCACTTTTCGGCCGACCCCTTTCGATTTCGATGAAAAATCGTAGGCTGGTTATATATGTTCCCAATAGATTATAAACAAAATTTTAGCGGATTGGCAACTATATTAGCGGAGATATTCGGGGTTAAAGGTCTAAAAAACGTCTTTTTTTGCTTTTTACTGATGTTAAATAACTAGTTTTTAATTTTAAACTAAATATGATCAAATATTGAATATAATATCAATAGCTAAGTTAATAATTGATGATTATGGCGAAAACATCAAAATTAATTTTTGATAAAATATGGGTCATCTTATGATCAGTTGAAAACTTGAAATTAATATTTCGAAATGTATATAATCTCCGATTTTTAATTTTTTTAAGAAATATTATCCGTTTACTATTTTTTTAATAATTTCTTCAACAATTAGCATGGCTGGATATTTATTTTAAAAAATATTGCGATTTTTATACTTTTAAAAAAATAGTTGACCCATATTTTATCAAAAATTAATTTTGATGTTTTAGCCATAATTCTCAATTATTAACTTAGCTATTGATATTAGATTCAATATTTGATCATATTTAGTTTTAAATTAAAAACTAATTATTTGACATCAGTAAAAAGCAAAAAAAGACGTTTTTTGGACCTTTAACCCCGATTATCTCCGCTAATATAGTTGCTAATGCGCTAAGATTTTGTTTATAATCTAATGGGAACATATATAACCAGTCTACAACTTTTTATCGGAATTGAAAGGGGTTGGCCGAAAATCTTGATTTTTTTGCTCATTTGACATGGAATAACCCTCGTATGAATGCTTAACAAACTTAATCTAGGTGGTATGAATATGAATTTTGCATTCTAGCAGATATGAAAAGCTCACAATTTCAATTGAAAAGGTTAACGATTTTAAAAAATTTGAATGTCTAATTTTGAAGAATTCAAAATAGAACCTTCAGTTTATGGAAAATGTGTCACCAAAAACTTCCTTAGATATTTCAAACATATGTGATTGGTTTGATATTTAGATTCAACTACAGTAAACTTCCCCCACCGGGAAGGATATGCCTATAGGGCATAGGAATGCCAAAAGTACTCTGATTGAGTAAAAAATCTTAATGTATATTATATTAAATTATATTTTTTCATATCTGATCTGGTCAATAACCTTTTAGAATTATATATTCTATTCAAAATTGTACCATGAACCATATTTTGATATGAGTTTTGATTTTGAAACAAGCCAAAAAAATAAATAAAAAAATGATAAATTTTTTATTTTATTCACACCTTTTTTTAAGAAATAAAATATTTATAAATAATATATAATATGAAAATATAGTATTTTATTATATTATACACATTTAATACAGGGTTTCCTATTTAAAAAGAAAAAGTCCAGACCAAAAAAGGAAAAGGCGCAACCAAAAAAAGGAAAAAGTCCGATCAAAAAAGAAAAGGTTTAATCAAAAAGGAAAAGTCCCATATAAATTTCAAAATTGGTATCTAAAAGGCATGCTAGTTTTTTTTCTAAAATATGCTTCCCTAGCCTAAACAACAAAAGTTCTATTAGGAGTGTTTGATGTAGGTAAGACGTTATATTTAATAAATGTTATGTTAAATTTTGGAAATCACATATAAAGATAATCAATGAGATGTATTTAACATGTAAAATGTAACTTGAATAACTTCTTTTTTCGTTACATTCTTTCCAAAAATATAACTGGCTACATATTCTAAAAAGTAATTATAAATTTTTCATGGAAATTATTTTCCTTATAAATATGTATAATATATTTTTCTTATTATTTCCATGTATTTGACTTAATAATTAAAAACACTAATTCTAAAATATATATCAATATTTTGTGCTTTATTAGTGTATAGGTTTGTAGACACTACAAAGAAAACAAATATACAAATATTTGGCCAACATTCTATTAAAAATCGACTTATTTATTCTGAAAATTTTATCAATGTTTAGTAGTTAATTAATGTATTTAAATCCCTGGTAGATAATATAAAGATTCAAAATAAAAATTTTAGTATTATGCAATAATGGGAAATATAGTAAACTAAATCTAGATCTTCAAAGCCCGGAACGTTAAGGATTTTTCACAAGTTGTCTGTCCCAGCCCGTTATAATTTTACGAAAAGTCAGCCCCTGCCCGTTAAATATTTATATAAGAATTTTCGGCCATCACATTTTTATTATCTATATCTAATTTTTCCCAAAAACTCAGCTCTTATACCTCGCCTCTATAGCTGTCTATTTCTTTACAACAACCATTTTATAAATCAATTAATTTTTTATGAATTTACTATATTATTTATTAATTTAGTATTTTAGTTAAACAGCTATTAAAATACAAAGAAATAAACATTATAATTTATTTTAAAATATTTTAATCAAAAATCAAAGTAATAGCTTGAAATTCAAAAAATATATCAAAATTTTAACGCTCGGACTAGTATATATTTTAACAAAGATCATAAATCAGCTAGACCCTGCTGATTTCTTATCCAAAAATTATCCTACCCGGATTTTTTAAATTTGTCCGGCCCACGAGTTGGATTTTCGGATGGGTTGTGTTTTACAAATCTTTAGCCTGATTAATACTTATTAATTCCTCAATTAGTTTTGCTAACCACAAAAGTAAATCGAGTTTTCAACAAAATGAAAATTATGACGTCATATTTAAGCATAAAGTGAGTCAAACCTTTGGTCTCACTAATTCTAAACTTATACCAAGCCGTTAAATATTGTTTAATTGGTACATTTTGTTTATCTTATGATATAAAATTAAATGGAGAAAAACCCTCTTGTTAAATGAGAAAATAAGGCTAAATTGGTATCATTCCAAAAAGGAATCTAAATATTTAGTTAGGGCTAATACTTCTGTTTTATCATTTAACTAAACATAATATAAAAGTAATAAATAACCAATAAGTATCATAACACTTTGTTATAAATATTTATGCAATTTAATGATTATATACTGGACTAAAAATTCAAAATTTTTGGGATGGACGACGGTCATGATAAAAAACGAACGAGTCACTACTAAAAATATTTAGCTTGTTTAGAGTTTTCTCTAATAGAAAATATTTTAGGGAGGTTTTTTTTCAAAAGTTCGAAATAAAATAAAGAAAATTGGACGGTAAATTGAGAAAACTTTAATGAAGCAATTATTTTTTTAACAGTACATCCTCAACTGAAAAAGATTGTTCTTCGGAGGAAAACGTTTATTCAAGCATCGGTGAAGCTCGTCGCTCCGTAGTTTACCAATCCCTTAATAAAGGTTATAAATATAATTTACTATTATGTAATTGTAAATAAGAATTATTGGAATAGAACCCTTCACAAATTATAATTGCCCCCATCTTCTTTTAAAATAATTTGACTTTAATGTCCGCCCCTAATCCGGAAATAAATTTAATCATGTTTGAAATACCTACCTTAATTTCAGTCAATTTTGCCATGAACTTAATATAATTTTTATTCGTTTTCCCATAGATTTTTAATATATTAATGACTCTAAGATTAACGGCAAAACTGTCTACAATTTATAAGGTAGCTATTCTAAGCATTCTACAATATATTTCTAATGTTATCAGATTTTTAAATTTAAAAACATGCTCAAAAAATTATTTAAATTGAAGAATAGCACAATGACGCTAACATATATAATTGGCATATGAATCATAAAATGAATATCTAGAAAAAGAACATTATAAAAAAATTAACTTTGTAAACTTAAAATTTAATATATAAATTTAATTTATATTTTTAAAAAATGTTGAGAATATAGATTAAAATGCACGAGAATATTCTTAAGAAATAATACATGTATATAAACTTACAAGGTATTCACGAAAAAATATAGTGCATTAAACAAAAACCCGTAATAAACTGCTAAACCTTTATAAATTAACCGTAGCCATAACTGAACCGATATAATGATATTCCGAAGGAGTAAAAAGAACCTTTTTAAATGAGATCGAATCGGTTTCAACCAAAATAAAATAAATAATTTTACATTCTTGAGGTATTACATTTTTACAATATCCGCGTCGTTTTAAGGTATCAATCCATTTTATAATGATTAAATTATTAAAATATTCGTAATATTCATAATAAGTATGTATTAAATTATTCACATGACTTAAATTGATCCACAATCTTTTAACTTCTTTCTGTAGTATTAGAACCATATTCCTATTTTTTCTATTTTAGTATGCAAAATATCTCAACAACTAATTTCTAGATTTTTGACTTAGTTGCATTTATTTAATTATTTTAAGTATAATGCTACCCATGAGTAGTTTGATAGAAGGGCTATTATTCCAATATAAATTTCAAAATGATCAAATTTATGGTTTTAATTTTATATATTATTTATACAATTTTGGCATAGAATGAAACGTTAATTATACTGAATATGTCCATAGAACATAATGTTTCGGTAACAAATGTTATAGTTGAGAATTAAAGAGAATACAAATAAATAGTATAAATAAATTAACTACTAATACTTTATTAATTAATATAAATTGTAATTACATAATTATAACTAAAAAAAATTAAAATAATATAAATTAAAATTAAAAGATTAAAAATTATGTTCGCAAATTCATAAATATTATTAACAACTAAAATATCCTCGATTATATATACTTTTCTATCCTATTCATTTACATCGTCTTTACTCAATATAATAATTCGTTTCTTTTTTCTGTTTAACAGTCGATTTGAATATTACTTCTTTTTTCTCGATTTTATTTCAAAGTAAATTTACATATTACAACACCCTTACACTTAGATTAGGCCCCACATTCTACGAAATAGCAATATTCGTGCATGTATCCAATTACTGTTTTATTTCCTTTGCTCACTTACTTCACCGATAGATTCTATTTCTTGTCATAGTCTGTTATTGATGAGCTCTTAGTCACAACTTGATTAACGCATGCTTTTAAACGATACACGATTGCTAGTCAACGATTATCGATACTACGTCTTAGATTCTCCTGGTAAATTCTTTTAGTCTTTTGCTTGTTTCTAACGTTCTCTTGTAACTATATGTGCTTTATCTCGGTCAACGATGGACGATGCTTGATCTGCGATTAACGATTGTTTTTACGAATTCTTGTTTCTAAGATAATCGATTTTGTATCCTATACTAAAGTTTAGATAAGCAATTGGCGATAATTTGTCAACGATTAACGATTGCATCTTGGTCTTGACCACTTGTTCTACCTAGTCGCTTGTCACTATATCAACTTCGTCTTAAGATCTCTTATATGATAAATATTTCTTTTATCTTTTGATCTCAAATTCGATCTCTACGTGAGCTCGATTGCGGCCTAAAATTTCTAATGACGAAAAGCCGTTTATCTTTATGAAGATTTTAATCCACAACCTAATAATATATAAAACGATTACTTGTACCTATAACGATCTCTTGTGACTAATTCTTTTTAGCTAAACGACTAATTCTATTCTTTTCCGAATTACGACCATTAATATTGATACCTCTCATTCTTTGACTCAGTCGATAGTCATTTCATACATCCCCTTCCCCCTTTATTTAGAATTTTTTTTCAGATTTAATTAGACTGAATTGTTGAAATTGCCCTGGCACCTCCACTCTCCAACATCATTGTCAAATTATGAAATTAATTAGACTGATTATGTCCATAGAACATAATGTTTCGGTAACAAATTTTATAGTTGAGAATTAAAGAGAATACAAATAAATAGTATAAATAAATTAACAACTTATACTTTATTAATTAATATAAATTGTAATTACATAATCATAAATAAAAAAATTAAAATTAAAAGATTAAAAATTATGTTCGCAAATTCATAAATATTATTAACAACTAAAATATCCTCGATTATATATAATTTTCTATCCTATTCATTTACATCGTCTTTACTCAATATAATAATTCGTTTCGTTTTTCTGTTTAACAGTCGATTTGAATATTACTTCTTTTTTCTCGATTATATTTCAGTAAATTTACATATTACAACAGTATATTTTAAAATTGTTCTAGCCTTTATTACGAAAAATAGATTTGATGTTGGCTACACATTAATGAATTCTTGTACAGTTATGATTCTTATATATTTTTTTATTTATCATTCATACTTACTATAAAAATAAATTTCATTTATTTTATAAATAAACAATATATTAAATTAAGTGGCAGAAATTGTAATAAATAATATTCATAATTAAAATCATATACGATGGTGTTGCTTCAATAGAAATAATTTTGAATTTTTTTCGCGGAAAAAGTTTCACGGTATTGACATGACATGAATAGTTTAGGAGAACATTAAAGTTATTCTATACGCTTTTTTAATATTTTATTGGATAAAGCAGACGATCCCCCAAATAATGGAAGTCATTTGATTAGATGTTGCCATTGCAATAATGTCATTTCCGATCAAGTAATTTAATATTAACTAAGATAAATCTTTTCATTAGTTATACGTTGTATTATAAATTAGTCTACATGGGGGTCGCTTGAGTTTTTTCCAGTGTAAGGCAGATTTCCTCGTTTTACCGGTGGGGGCGATAAAGCTAGAAATCTAAAGACATAGAAGATGGTGGTGGCAAGGGAGAGGGTCAGATATATCATAAAGTATCATACATTATATTTTGGTAATTTGAGGGGTAATGAAATATTTTAGAAACAAGATTTGTGATATATATGAGTCAAAAAAATTGTTAATAAATCTAATTATTTTATTCAGAGACCTGTAGAGGTACCATTTGCACGGCCCGGCCTGTAGTTTTTTCGGTTCGAACCGGGTTTATTATTTTTAAGTCTGGCCTGGCTCTGATTTTCTTTTTTTTTAAATTTCAGGCCCAGCCCATATTTTTTAAAATATATTATATATTTAATTTTTATAGCTAATAATAGTGATTTATTATATAGTTTTAAAATTACTACCCGGCCTATTATTTTTTCAAAAAAATCTTAGGTCCGGCCCGGGTATATTTATAAAATCAAAATACGATCTCCTGTACTCAGGCCGGACTTAGGGCCAAGCCTGCAGGTCTCTGATTTTAATATTGAATAACATCTCTACATCACTGTTTTTCAGCACTAGTCCCGAATCAAGGTTGCGGGGCATGAGGGGTCAACATTTTTAAAATTTACATAAAATTTTAATAACATGTCTCAGAAAAATGTATAAAATATAGTGCTGTATTTATTTCTAAAAATTTGAATGCGTTCGCATTCAATGTTCATTGGCAAAAATTGAACGCGTTCAACGATCATTGGCAAAAATCGAGAATACGCTCAACTTCAAAAAAGAAACGCGTTCAAGTTCATTCAAAACTTTATGAATAATTTTTTTTATTTCATTTAATATAAATAAATATCACATATTTTTAACATAGCCATGTTTAAAATTAAACAGCGAAGTCGGTTTATTAACCGGTCAAATTCAGTCATGAACGGTGAAATACTCTTAAAAATCTGTAGAAAAAAAAATTAAATTTAGAAAAAATTGGTTGATTTTTTGTTAATATTGTCATTAAATCAGAAATTCAATATCTCAGCAATAGGAAAATATTTTAAGAAATTATAATATTGATTTTGAATCAGAACAAGAGACTCTGCAACGGAGAACCAAACATTAGTTATTGAATGACAATGAATTTAAAAAATATTTTAATATTAGATTCATTTTACTATTATATTCAAAATAAAGTTAATATTGCCTTAAAAACATTTATTTGAATTTGAACGGTTAAATACACAACCCTGGTTATAAAAACTTTTATATATAATATAAAATTTAATTATTTATAAAAAATATAATATTTTTAATTGCGTTCAACCTTTATAATATAAAACCCTACATAAAAACTTAAAAATAATAGCGAAATTTCAAATAATCACACTAAAAATGAATAAATTTTAAAAGATATAACTCTATTTTATATCTATATATATTATATATAATGATTTTTACTTTATGTTATTTTAATAGTCATAATAATTTAATAAGCATATGAAATACAACAATCTAAAATAAATTATTAACAGGATACTTAAAGCAATAAATATTACAACGAATATCTATTTAAATTAGAACTTGAAGATTTTGAAACTGATAACTTTTTGGACGCATACATTTGGTAAGGATAGAATTAGTTTATTGAATATATGATATTACTGTAATATATTTATTATATTTAGGGCATGATCTTAATTCATATAAAATGATAATATTCAAATTAATATAATAGGGCAGAAATAGTGGTTGGTTAAAAAAATTAAAATGTGATAACGGAAACAGGTAATTGTAAAATAACCCTTTTTTCTTAAAAAGTTTGGATTAATATTTTTTATTAAATGAATAAAAATAAGGTTTCTAAAATTTAACGAATGTTTGTCCAAAAAAAGGAACACGTTCAAAGTTCGTCAAAAATATAAAGAACGATCATTATTTTTTTCAAAAAAACTGACTTCGTTCATTGAACGGTTAGGGTTCTTTACAACAATAAAAAATAAATAAAAGGGCAATAAAAATTATACGGTGTTATTTTTCATTTTGATAGGCTATGATTTTTTTGGACAATATATTTATCAAGGGCAATTTTTAATTATAATAAAATTGACGTTTTATTTTTATAAATATCATCCACATGGAGTTTAGACTGGCTGGATTGTGGAATCTTTTTGTTGAAATAAAAAATCTAATTCAGATTTGTCATCATTTATTCTTATCTATTATAAAGAATACTGTGTTCTATAGGCGACGACTTATAAAAATCTATTTAGCAAAATATTTTAATTGGGGCGAGTGCCCCACTGCCATTGTGTAGTCCTATGCTTTGTTCTGATCCAGGCATATGGGTTCCACTAACAGTGGGCGGGAGAGGGATTTACAACGTCCATGATCCGACCATTTTGGGGTTGGGGATAGGGAGATTCAGTTTTGTCGGAATTATGGTAATAAATCAAATATTTAAAATAACCTGTTATATTAATTAGTAAATTAAGAATATCATCCAATTCCATCAGGAATCGCATAACCTATTAGAGTTACTTGTACACCATTTAATACATACGTCATTTTATTAAACTCAAATCTAATCCAAAGTAAGTTTAATCAAGTTATTTTTATTAGGATGAAAATTTTATCGAAAGGTAAAGTATTTATAATCATTTCCATAAGGACGGTTTTTAATATCGCACAAATTTTTATCCAAAAACAATGTATATATTGATTTCCATAAAATTTTTGCTCCTGATTTCTTTTTTTTGCTTGCTCTTATAGAAAATTTAAAGTGTTAATTAAAAAAATCTTTATTCTTTCATGGGTTTTTTAAAAGGATAATCCATTATTTAAGGCGTAACCTAGATAGGGAACACAATATATGTTTAATATAAATCTTCTTCTTCTTCTCCGTTTTATGGCGATTTCCAGGTTTACCCGGGTAGGCCAGTTTTCCCTCTGATTTTTCTTTTCCATTTTTGACGGTCCTGAGCATCAATACTTGTAAGATTCATGCTTCTCATATCCCCGCTATCACATTTGTCCACGTCATCTTGGGTCTTCCTCTAGGTCTTGATCCTCCTACTTCCATCATTGTGCATCTCTTTACCCAGTCATCTCTTGTCATACGTTCCACATGCCCAAACCATCATAGTCAATTTCGTCGCATTACCATACTAATCATTTCTATACCTAATCTTGCTCGCAATTCCTTGCTAGTTTTTCTCTCTCTCAGAGATACCCCACACATCCATCTAAACCATCCTCATCTCTGTTCTTTCTAATTTGGCTTCGTGAGTCGCTTTCATTGCCCATGTTTCTAGCCTTAAACTAAACAGCTCCTCACACAGCTTACGTAAACTTTCCCCTTTAACTTCAGAGAAACTTTTTTATTTGTAAGAATAGACGACATCTCTCTGAACTTCTTCCAAGCTTGTCTGATCCTTGCAACAACGGCAGAATCTACACCACCATCTGCGTTTAGTATATCACCTAAATAACAAAACTTATCCACTTTTTCTAGGGTTAACCCATTGCCAATATCTAGACCACCATTTTTTAGGTTATCATTATTATGTATCCCTTTCATGTATGTTCTACAAATAAAGGTCATTCTTTCTAACATCAAACTGCCTTTTTTTCCCGCTACATCTTTTATGTACCCATTGCATCTGGTGCATTGGATAGAATTTCTAGCAACTCCTTTCCCACATACACCACAAGGCCACTTACCGGATTCCTCCATCTTTAGATTTTCCCCACCAATCATTACCTTTGTTTTTGATGCATTCATTTTCAGGCCCTTTGCTTCCATAGTCATCTTCCATTTACTAACTTTATCCCTCAATCCTCCCACACTGTTTGCCATTAATACAAGGTCATCTGCATATAATATCTCCCAAGGAAGTCCTTCACGCATTTCTCTAGCCACCACATCCATTACTAAAATAAATAATAATGGACTCAGCACGGATCCTTGATGAAGTCCTACCTTCACCTCAAAGCTGTCATTATCACCATAATCCGTCCGTACTGCTGTTTGTGCTCCAACATACATTGCCATCACTGCGGTAACCAACCATTCCTCCACACCTGATTTTCTCAAGGCCCATCTAGTAATCTCACGCGGCACCCTATCAAATGCTTTCTCCAAATCAACAAACGCATAATAGAGTTTCTTTTCCTTCGCAAGATACTTCTCCTGAATTTGTCTCACCACAAAAATTGCATCTGTCGTGCCTTTTCCCGATGTAAAACCAAACTGCATTTCATCAATTTTAATTTGTTCCCTTAACCGCTTCTCTAACACTCTCTCAAATACTTTCATTGCATGTTCCAAGAGTTTAATAGCTCTGTAAGACCCGCAATCTAAAGGATCACCTTTCCCCTTGTATACTGGAATAATTATACTTCTTCACCAGTCCTCGGGAATAGTACCTTCTGTGACAATTTGATTTGCTAAATTCATTAACCATTCAATCCCGAAATCATCAGAACCTTTAAACATCTCTGATACCACCATCGTTAAACCCGATGCCTTGCCTTTCTTCATCTTTTTCACTGCTCTCTTTATCTCGTCCTTGCCAAATTTACACCCTGGACCTTCTACCTTTGCACAACTAATATTATTATCCCATTCATTTTCTTCATTAAAAGTCCTTTCATGTAAATCTTCCAGGTGTTCTTAATACCACTACCATCAATCGCCATTTTTCCTTCCACATTTTTCAAACACTACACCTATCACATCCTGCCTCTTTTTTGACATCTGTTTTGCCATTCGAACCATATTTCCAATTTCATCAGCGCATTCCATTTCTTTAGCAAACTCGTGTCTTTTTTCTTCTTGAGCCTTCACTATTAATTTCTTAGCATTTCTTTTAGCCATCTTGTAAATATCATTATCACTATTTTCTTTGCTAATATACCAT